AAAAAACTCTTCCTCATTGAAATTTTCTGGGTCGTATGACGATTTAATGGATTTCTTTTCTGGTTTGCGTATTTCTGTAATTTTCTTTACTATAGCCGACTTCTTCTTGCCGCCTCTCGCACCAAAGATGGCGCCAAAGTAATCGTCGACGCTGCGAGTATTTCGCTTTAGTGAAAACAAATCCTCGCGATCTTGCAGTGCTGTGTCGAGTAGCTCCTTAATCCACTTGAGTGCAGCAGACCGTCTATCTTCTAGCACTTCTTCTCTCTTTTTGGGTGTCTTTTCCTCCAGGGATAGTGGTTCGAAAAGTTTGGCCAAAGTCTCGGAATGTTCACCATTGTCATCCAGCACAACATGTCTGGCACCGCGATTGGCAAAGGTGGCATAGCGACGTCTGCGGTGGTTGGATTTTGTTGGAGCAGAGTGAGCGAGTGCCGTGTCCTGTATTAGCTGCTGCAATAGCTTATCGGACGAGGAAATGCGTTTACTCGCCTTTTCCTCCTCCTCCATCGATTCGCGCGCCAATTCGTCAATATCGATCTCTGTGAACTGGCAATGCTCCAGCTCAGCATTCGGTAGCACCCAGAACGCAACGGATTTCCCGGGTGCACTCAATTGCAATGCTTTATTTGGACTATTAGTCTTGACTTGAGGCGTTAATGTGAAGTTCATGTTCAGTCTCTCGTTGTTCAAATAAGCCTGATTCTTTTTAAATGTTACGATATACTGCCAGTACTCCTCACCAGGTAGTTTTGTGGAAGAACTTACGGTCACGTGCTTGGTATCATCATCAGGATTGACAATCATGAAGGCTATACCGCCCGAAATTGTATTAGCACAATGGGTATATAATTTATTGCTGCGCAGGAATATGGTAAAAGGTCGGGCAGGGAACACCCGTGAGCCCATAATTTTCTTGAATAGCATAGTTACGAAAAAGCTGGGACCAGGGCGTTCCAAGTCATCTTGATCAATGCGGCGGAAAACGGCGTCGAAACCAGAGGTTGCCGCATCTCCGAGAGTCTGCGCCCAGCGTAACACATCTGTGACATCCTCTGCATTGGTTTTGCTGCTGCTGCTGCTACCAGTGGTGCCTCTCTGTGTCGATTTTTTTGGTCGATCCTTAGAGGCGAAATTTAGCCAAACAGGTACCTTCTCGCTGAACATGGCACGCAGGGTGCGATCGTGTTCATAGACTGAGCCGATCATAGTATTTGTGGTGGCAGAATCGGCTGGCCTGCAAGTGCCAATTACAAATGAGTATGGGCATTTATGTAACTGTTTCAGAGTACTTACTGCAGCCAATTAAAAGCAGCATTAATGTCTCTCGACATCTCAATATATCGCTTAACTTCTTCGCTACTGCTGCCCGAAGGTATTTCAGCACCGGTAACTTCCCAGTCATCGACATAAGGATTGAATGTATCCACTATCAAGTTCAAAGTGTTCAAGTCATTAAAATATTCTTTGATACCCGGACCAAACTCTGTGGAGAAAAATTGCTTACAAAGGTTTCCGCTACTCATTTTATGTGCGTTCTTACCTGTACCCAATTGCCAAATGCAATCGGTTATGCCTGTTAAATAGGAACTATTTAAAATTCTCAGGGACTCCATAGGATCCCATTCACCGGAACTATGTGGAATCGGTACGACCATCGTCCAGTTTACCGCACTACGAAGGGAAGTATACTTTGATTTTGTTTTTCATAATCGATTTGCACTCACCTCGTCCAGCGGTTGAACCCTTTCCATATAGTCTTTGTAGGATTTCGATAATTCGTTTCTGTGTTAGATATGAAATTGTAATCGCTTATAAACTTCACATAAGAACTTCCCAGCATCGTAGCCATATGCGTTAGCACTTTCCTGTGCGATGAAGGGTTAATCAAATATAATATCGTAATATGAAATAAATTGTTGTTTCATTCATTATGTTAACCTATTTGGTCCATCGAGCGCTCTATATAAATCGGCGGGTTCCACGGCAAAACTAACAAATTTCTCATTCACATCATTGAATGGCCGATTCAGATTTACTTGCACAAACACGTCCGCGTATGTAGAAAAAGCGAAAATCGCGATCAAGAAAGAGATCTCCACCGAAAGTGAGGACCTTAGAAGCAACATCTTCCCTTGGAAATGCTACCCGTGCACTTTGAAGACTTAATTTCAACTGATTGTGAAACTTTCAGTTAACCTTTCTAAATAAACTATTCTCATTAAAACAGTGCACTTATTCAGCTTACTTTCAAGATTTTCAGTTATTTATTTACTTTTTGTTGAATTCACAAAAAAATATGTGGCCTAGGCCAGGTGTTGGCGTTTGTGGCAGCTCTTTTGCTGACATGAAAAATTCTAGCTTTGGAAAAAAGACTTACATACATACATAGGTGCTGACATTGCAATCGCATTTGGAAGTTCATGGAAATTCTTGAAGAATGCAAAACCTATATGTATTTAAATAAATACACTAGCCAACAAAATTTTATAGCTGGGCTACATTTCTTTCTGTAAAATGGAAATTTGACTCTCAGATTAGTCAACTGGCTGTAGTTTTTACATACTTATTTTGGATTTAAAATGCCAAATATTCATGTCTAAAAAACTACATAGGAGAGGGGGATAAGTGCGGACAGCACAACTCCAATGACTCTCTACAAATGAAACCGCATTTGCCGCCAAAAGACTCCAGGTTAGTAGAAGCTCGGAGCGAAGTCATCTGTCAGGTTGGCGACAGTTAAATTCGCGCAGACAGGAGTCGAAGGAATCGAAGTAGTGGATGAGATTGTCCAAATCAGCGTTATTCACTTGGAATGTACGTATGGTAAACGCTGAAATAGAGAGCAACAGAGCAAAATATAAAAACAAAAACTACAAGATTAGTAACACCAAACAAGTTTAACATTCAATTACCGGCTGTTGGGCAGACACACAAAATCTCACCTCACAAAAAAAATATGGAAAGGATAATTTTCGGCAAGTTTATACATCTCCAATTACTTATAAATTTTAAAAATGTTTGCCTAATAAATTGTGAGCAAATCTGGAAATAAGTTTTTAGTAACTGCGCGAATACCATATGGTTAGGGTGCGTTCAGAAATGCATCAAGCCAAAACATCAGGCTCTTTTATTTCTAAACTATAATTGATGAAAATGTCCAATACGCGCAACCACGATTAAATGCCGAATTGAACCTTAGTTCTGAACACATTCCTATTGACCGAATTGAGCAAGTGACCTGACACTGTGGCAAACGAGCAGATTAGCTCAAGTAACGACTGTTGACTGCTCTTTGGCCAGAGTGCCAGGTCGCTTGCTCAATGTGGTGAATACCCCTATTGTTAAACGTACGTTCAGCTCTCTTAAACAATTCATTAGAACAGCATAAATCTTATTTATTTTTATTTACATTTATGTAGATAAGATTTGTAAGATATCTTTTCACAAAACTTAATCCTCGTCGCTAGCTTCTAAGATCATCTTAAAGTTGAATGGCTCGAAAGCGTAGCCAGTGCCAGCGTAGAATTTCGACATGAACTCGACCCTGCAATATTTCTTTTCATGAATCATACATATAAAAATATATCAAATGATTGGAAATACCAATGCAAACGCAGTGTATGCAAGAAAGCTGAAAGTCCTTCCATAAATATCATGATGGCAATGGTAAGCAAAGCCCAAGCCCAAAAAAATAATGTACACGCCAATTGCACCAGCGTAACCCTTGAAATGGAGACCCTTCTGCATAACCATAAGCCACAGCACATAAGACAGCTCTGTTTTTGGGTTCATGGTATTAGTTAGATGCACTTGACCCGATTGATATCACTCACCCGCATGTGCCAAGGATAGCGCCCATAAACGCAAGTAAGATGCTGTGTGTGAAATAGTACTCAGGACGTACTCAATCGTGTGAATGGCCTGGTGAATCCAAATCTCACTCATTGGCTCCTCCTCCTCATCGTCTTCGTTCTCGTGATGAGCATGTGGAACTGGGTCTGTGAGCGTTGCTTCAATAACAATGTCGCCCTCTTGAATTTCTATTTTTTCCACATATTCCTCCTTCGTTTTCTTCTTCGACTATTCATGGTGGAAAGATGGTTTAATTGAAATTTATAATTGTTTTTTTTTTTTTTGAATGCCGCTTACCTCAAATGAACGCAAACACTGGATGTACAATGGCTTCCCGATCAACATCCAAGGGATACAGAATAGAGCAACAATCCAGAAAACTCGTTCCACCATTGCTTGACTGTCAAACATATACATCTTACAACCGGCTAATTGTGGGGACGCCTTGAATAGAATCATATTAATGAAGTAGATCAAAACAGATGGCGCGCATCCCGGTGTATCAGGTTCGTAGTCGGTGGTCGGTGAGTATTGGACCCATTTATAGAACATCATAAATCCCATATAACCGAATAGTAGGATAAGGAAAAGGACTTGCGGTAAGAATTCCAGTAAGATGTATGCGTACTTTTTGAAATAAACCATATTCTCCACAGACATACATACACCGAAAACCATATGCAAAACACCAAAAATGATAGAAAGTTTCATCTTGTACGAATTGTAGAAGATGATCTTGTTGGACCCCAACTGCCAAATCGGGTCCATACCCCAAGGGTAGGTGCCAATGGTGGATACAGTGGGATCGAGTTGCAGATTTGCATTGGTCAGAACGGTGGTAGTATTATAACGGACGCGCCATTTAGAGCCGAACACATTGAACGATTTTGAGAAGGTGTCGTTGTAAGTGAATCCGGTGTACATGGAGAAAAGACCAAGGAGCAAAATGATATAACGACCACCAAACATGATTCGCCAAATTTCGCCGCCTTTCTTTCGCATCAGTCGCTCTTCATCTATAACCATCCAGAAGCCAATTAAGAACATAATAAAACCATGGCCCAAATCGCCAAACATAACCGCAAAGAGGAAAGGGAAAGTAATGCAGGTGTAGAGAGCAGGATTAACCTCCCGATAGGTGGCCATGCCATATGCATCGATTAAGTTTTGAAATCCCCGTGTGAACTTATTGGTACGAAAGTAAGTGGGTGGGCTCTTCTTTGTCGCCACAGCTGTTAAAAAGGAGCCCGTACTGCCTACATTGGCCGAGCCATTTGCGATTGTTTGCTGCACCAATTCTAGATCCATAGTCGGCACCCAGCACTCGCCGATCAAACATTTGCTTGTTACATCTATATTGAAGTAGTTCAGGGTGTGATAAATGGCCTTCATTTTAGTTATTTTAATGGACCAAATAGGCAGGTGTTTGGCTATGCCCGCCAAAATGCAATTGCGCTGATCATCGGTCCGCTTCAACACCAACTTCAGATCTTCCAAGCGTTTCTTCACCCCTTTCAGCATATCCTCGCGTTCATCGTGAACATTTGGGCAGGGATAGAGGGAGGCATGGAAGCCGGTACACACCTTCTTAATGCGAGCATTCAATTGTTCGCCCTGATAAAATACTACAAAAGCCGTCTTAAAAGTCCTATTGCCCGTGCGTGGGTCGTGCAAGGGCTCTTCGATATCAGCATGTTTCACCAAAATGTTGCCGCGAGAAATACGCCACAACATGCGTTCGAATGCGAAGAGACGTTGGCGATTTATTACACCGGCAATGAAGCCCAAGCAACCACGTCGTTCACCAGTGAAAGTGCCGCTGTTCGCATGTTCCTCCATATTAAGTACCGTTTGTTCAGTAAAGAAGTCTTGAGTCTTTTCAATCACCTTGCAGAGTTCGGTGAGCTCTAGCAAATTCGATTTCAAATTGATATCATTTTCCGACATTTCGCGAATTTCGTACTCGGCCTTCTCCAGCTGCGCCTCCAAGTCGGCCGAATCACGTGGATTCGGTGCGCTCGGTATATCATCGTAAACATCCTGCAGCTTTATTCCATCCTTCTCTAGCTCCCTAGTTATATAACGCATTTGACGTTCCATCTCATCGCACCGGCGGACTTCACTAACAAATCTACGCTGAAAAGCTGTGACTTCATTATTTAGCTGCAGAGAGAAAAAGACATTTATACAAAAGAAGAGTAAGTCATCTGGCTCAGGATGAACTTGTAGCTGAACTGAAAGATGAACACCTAACTAACGCGTAATTTAGGTCGGCCTCGTTCAAACAGCACATTTCCCGGATCTATTTTTAATTGAGCTTGAGGCAGGGCTAAGAAACCATAAGCCCAACATGCACACACAAAAAAAAATATGTTTCACTCAACAAATGATTTGGTAGCTATAACCAAATAGTTAATGCGTTGAGAGAGACATATTTAGTTGACGTTACTAAACTCTTTTCTTAGTGTTCGGTGTTCAGCAAGCGTATAATTAATTAAGAAGCAGTGCTTGTTTCAGCCGTAAGCTGTCTGTGTGCACGGGACCTTAGCGTAAAAATGTAAAAGTAAATTTTCACAACCTACATCACGAAATTGCACACAACCCAGTTCGCCCAAATCTGCCATGTTATTGTAGGCCGCTTCCGGTGCCAGAAAGATTTGGCACAGCGACATCTTTTCGCTGCGAAACATGCTGCCCATTTTGGAATGGTGTGTCTGCCTGCCTGATGACGAAACAATCAAATTTATTTTACCAAGTTATATCCTTTGGTAACAAAATGTTGTTAACTAAGAAATTCTCAACTTACTGTACTGCTCCGCCGTTCGACTTGTAACCGCCTACTATATTCACTCAATGCCAAACTGGAACTAAAATGTCTTCATTATTTCATGTATTTTGGTGAAATCAAATTTTGTATGATTATGACGAACAATTTGAGCCATAGGTTTCCAATCAATCAGTTGGCATTAATTCGTTAATCGCCGAGAGAATAATCAATTTACTCTATTTATGTACATTGTATGTACTCTTATTTTGAATCGTTTACCATTTTCTTCACTCTGCTTAGCTTCGGTTTTATCGTAACTACTCAAACAAAAAAAAAAATTGGGAAAGGTGCTACACTTATTTATTAATTAATTAAGTTGTCATATGTATATGTATGTATCATATGTATGATTTTTTTATAAAGATTTACCACTGTAGAACCATGATGACTTGTGTAGACTTGAAGTTTAAAATTCTGCCTACATGAAAGTCGATAACGAATTACAAA